TCAGCCCGTTTGTAAAACCTGTCGCTGTGCTCAGCCCCCTACGCGGTCTCGTGGTCTCATGGCCTCACAGGGGAGGCAGAACCTCCAGGTGGGAATCAGAACAAAAACCACACAGCGAGGTGGACGGGGAAGGCGTGGGGGGGCGTGAGACGTGAGGTCGTATCGCTGTATTGTGAGAATGTTTTCGGTTTCCACAGAGTGGATTGGAGGAAGTGGTGTGACTGAGTCGGACTCAGGGAAGAACTTACTGAGTGAAAGCGAGGGATCAACCCCTGAAGCAGACCTCCCACCATGTCTCTGTTTCCTGGACAGACATGAGAATAATATCGCGTGTGCGTGCGTGTGCGTGCGTGTGCGTGCGCGTGCGTGCGTGTGTTTTCCACCAAGAATAACTTTTCTACTGTCTCCCTTCTACTTTCGGATGTCGTTGGTGGGGAATGACACTTAGCTTAAGGATTTGATCTGGGACCAATTAGGAATAACCAGTTTCAGTTCTGTCGATTTCATTGAGTTGCCCTGGGTGGACATCTTCGGTCAGGAAAGTCCTTTTTTTCGGAGACATCCTGATGCCTTTTTTGGTTGAGGAGGGCGGAGTTCCCTGGGAACAGTCTGGAAGAAAATGATTGTAGCACGAGACCTAGATGACGCTTCGGTGGAAAATAGAGGTTTGGGGTGACAGCCCTGGTGGAGAATTGAGATGAGGGGCCCTAGGAGCCGAGCGGGGAAGTGGAAGGGATGGGCGTTTACAGATGGGGAGGACAGACCGACCTGGGCAACATGGCAGCTGCTGGGGTTGAGAAAGATGGCTGGTGACAGTCCTTCAGTTTCTGTCGTGGGCGTGCCATGATCTTCTGCTACTTTCCGACCCGTAGTGAGAGTCTGTGGAAAAGAAAAAGCGAACGCAGTACTGAGAAGAGAGAGCAGCCGGTCACCTCTCCGGCTTAAGATGATTGAGACACTGGCTTCTGGGTTCTGGAATGACGAGAAAATTGTCTTCGTGAAAGTGAGGGGAAGAGACCCATTTAAAAACTGCAAATCTCCACCTTCCTTAAACTAATAGCATTCATATTGTAAACCTCACTTTACATTTTTTAAAAAATCAACACCATATAAAGTGTATACAGATTAAAAAGACAGGGAGTTCTTCATGAATTATAACAAGAAAACACCAGCCGCACCCCTGATTCCGATCCCCAGAGGCAACCGCTTTTAATACTTGTAGCTGTTTCTTCCATTATTTACTTCCCGATTCTGAGTAACGTGCTTCTACTACTGTATCTCTCTTTTTTCTTTTTCTTTTTTCTTTTCTCTTCTCTCCCTTCTTCTACTCCCTCCTTCCTTTCTATTCGTAGACATTCACTACTGGCTGCTACTATGAGACGAGGATTTAGCTCTCACCCCCGCCTCGTGTGTGCTGGAGCTTCCTCCCACCTCGTTATAGTGCAACCGACAAGGAGATTTTGGCTAAACCAGTATTCAGTGTTCCTACTATTTTGATTACGTAAATGATGTGACTTCTGAGCCTTAAAATATATTATGACGACATTTTCTTTTATAGCTTTGTCTTTCCCGACGTTGGGGATTGCCTTGTGTTGTATTTGTTTAGCTATCTACCTGCTTATCACAGATTCACCCCCAAACCCTCTCTCGATGGGGTCGGCCCGTGCTCATCAGTCCTGCATCATGATGGAGCCCCTCCTGAGGGCGCGCCCCACCTGCCCCTGTACCCTTCACCTTCTGGCCTCAGTCTGGACTGTTTGCTGTAGGACTGCTGCCTAGATGAATTCCCTCGCTGGAGCCCGCGTGGTCTCTCCCTCGGTTAGGCCTTCGGTCTGTTGGAGCACATCCGGAGGCGTGGTTTCCTTAGAGAAGCCTTGACAGAAAATGCTCTTACTCTTACACTTGACTGCCAATTTGGGAACAGAACTCTTGGCTGCTCCCAGAGTTGTCGGAGAAAAGTCCAGAACCATTCCGATTGCTCATCCTTTATATGAAACCAGCCCCCTCCCCCAGCGGGGAGCTTTCCAGATCTTTTCTTGATCCCTGGCATTCTAGAAATGTACCAGCGATGTGCACCGTTGTGTGTCTCTTTCATTCACTGTGCCGGGCACTTCCTGGATCCCTTAGACCAGACACTCACGTTCTTCATGCCTGGAAAATGGTCGTGCATTACCCAGTCACGATGGCCTGCCCGCTGCTTTTTTTTTCTTTCTTTCTGGAATTTGTGTCAGTTGGGCATCCCGATTGGTCCTCTGAGGGAGCTTTTCCCTGCCATTGTTCATCTCTCTGTCTTCCTGTCCTCCTGTCCGGGCGGTTGCCTGACCTTTATCTTTTGGGCCCTCCATTGAATTTTTAAAATGTCGGCTAGCATACGTTAGTTCCCAAGAGCTCTTTTTTGGTTTGTTTATTTTAGTCAGGTTTATTGAAGTGTATCTTACACATACACTGTGGAACAGCACAAGATGCATCTTCCAGCCCAGGATACCAGGACACACAGGA